ACCAAACCAAATGAGGTGAAGACAAAGTTTTAATGTAAAGTTAGAGATTCAGAAGTAATGAGTAACAAATTATTCTGCACGCAAACTACAAACACGGAGGTGTTTTTAAAACGCCTGACTGGTCGAGTACACTTCATGGTCCAGACAGGTTTCAGTGAAACAAAATCCATTAACATCGTAATCAGATATTAAGTCTGTTAAGATATTTAAGTTATTTACCAGCACAGCTTTAGATGATTGGTGGTTTATATACTTATTATTATTATTGTAGTCGTATGTCTGTAATTCTGACCATCTCACAGGACTGCAGCTGAAAAATCTTACCTTCCTCCTCTTCCTCTCTGAGCTGCTGTTGACGTTTTCTTATTTTATTTTGAAAACCAGCTGACAAACCTCCAGCTGTGATGTCATCATCCCGCCGTCTACTGAAGCTCCGCAACAATAAAAGCAGTCGAGTTTTGTTTTAATGCAACAAAGTGAACAAATGTTACATCAACGTTCCAGAGAAACGGCATTAATGAGCGCAGACGTCATCCTGCAGCCTCTGGTCACGAAGACAGGAAACACTTCTGTCGTCCTACAACTGTGGACGAGGACGTTTCGTTCAGTCCAACTCTATTTGACTCTTTTCTCATTTATCTACATGTTTTTAAGTTGTTTATCAATCAATCAAACAAACCTTTTCAAACCGTCCTGGTTACTCTGAAACAGGAAATGTCTGAAGCTAACGGAACAAAACGTTAGCGCTTCTAGTCTGACTTCACATCATGGAGGTTTGACATCACTAAGTATTTCCTGTCTGTACTTTAACTCATCAGTTTCACATCAGAGGCGGGAAACTGAACAGAATCACCTTCTTGAGAAACGCAGGTCGTCGTCGATCCGGCGCTCAGACCGCTCAACCTGGTTGTCAGCCTGAAGTACCTGAAGTTAAATGGACCAAACTGTAGGACACGCTGAGGACAGAGACACTACGTCTTCTCCTCCTCATCCTCATCTCCTCCTTCCACTGGTCCAGCGGCAGGATGGCGTTCTGGGGACAGTACACGTGGCTGAAGTACCGGCTGTGGCCCGTGTCCTTGTTGCGGTGCAGCAAGGACCCCTGCGCCCCCCTGTACCTGCCCTCCAGCCCGGTACAGGGGGGCGGCGAGAACAGGTAAAGGGGCGGAGGTGGGGGGGGGGTCTGCTTTGGAAACAGCTGTCGCTGACCCGGCAGCCTCAGGTGGACCGGCGGCGGAACGTGAGGGCGTGGAAGAGCTGCAGACTTCCTCTTGACCGCTCTTCTTTTGGGCAGGGGCGTCTGACGCTGGGCAGGCTGTGGGGGTGCAGCCGTGGGGCGTACCTGTACAGGTGGGAGGGGCTCAGGAGCAACAGGAGCAGGTAGGCCGGCCCCCTGCAGCAGACAGGCCTGTTGCTCCACTGGATCAGGTCTGTCTGACTGACGCCAAACAGCTGCAGAGTCGTGGTCTGCGTCACGCCGCTGTTCCCCAGCACCAGCTGAGTGATCTTCCTGTAGTCCCTGAGAATCAGGCTCCACCTGGTCCCGCCGCGGTCGCCCTGTTTCACGGGGTTTGACAAAGATGGAGTCGACCAGACGACAAGTCTCTGGCCACCCGGCTTGTCCTGGTCCTGGCCCCGGCCCTTGTCCTGGTCCCGGCCCCGGTCCCGGCCCTTATCCTGGTCCTGGCCCCGGCCCTTGTCCTGGTCCCGGCCCCGCACAGTCCTCGGCCTTTGTTTCCCTCTGTTCTCCTGAGCCGCCGGTTCTCTTGGCCTCAGTGTGGCTCTGCTGGAGCTGTGAGGGCGGAGCTTTCTCCTCATCTCTTCACACAGACCGGAGTGAAGTGCTCTCCTTCCTCCCTGATCCAGAGCTGCTCCTCTTCCTCTTTAATGTGCGGGGTCTCTGAGCCCTGCTGGTCCAGACCGGGTCTCCCGTCCTGCTGCTCACCAACGATCACCTGCTGGATCACTGGAGGACAATCACGGACCAGATTACAGCATCGTGTACTGCAGAGAACTTTGTGAAAATGTACTTTCTGAAGTTTTCATCTCAGGTTGTCCAGAAAACGGGATGAAATATATATATTTTAAGTGCAATATATATTTTAAGTGCAACAACATATTCATGCAGCAGAGGGTTATTTCTGTATGACAACATGTAACACAGCAGGTCAGTGCTGAACGCTCTGCTTGATGTTACAGCCTATAATTTGACGTCAGCGGATGTTTGTATTCGTTTTGTTTTGTTTAGCAGCTGAACTGCGGTTCTGACATTATATCTGAATCCTCATGTACACATAAACCATCACCGCCCCCCATCCGGCTCTTTATTTTCTCAGATTGAGAACATTTTACCCTGTAGGTCTCCAACAGTTACTGACTTGATGATCAGAGAGGCTCTCCAGGTAAACATCAGTAACATCCAGGTGATCAGAGCAGCTGCACAGGTGAAGAGTCTGATCATCTTTAATAACTAGAACAACCTCTGAGGAGCTCTGCAGTCCTGCTGCTGCCATGTTTTTATGTCCCAGCTGTGTGTCGCCTCTTTTATACGGCACACTGTGAAGTCAGTTGTAGTTTTCCAGATGTTGGCGCATTTTACCGTGAATAACTGCAGAGAAGTTTCCTGATCAGCTCCCTGATGAAGCTGGAGACACAATAGTATAGTTTAAACATAATTACTTATTTAAGATTAACATTAAATATAATATAAAAATATAAACATAAAAAGTGTCCAGGGCACATGCCTCTGATAGTGGGGTAAACTGTCCCTTTCATAGAAAATTGAACATTATAACTGAATAAAAACTAACATTAAATAAAAGTATTTACATAAAAATCCAGTAAAAACATTTATTTATTCCGTTTCGTGTCCTCCAACCACTGCTCCTTTGGTACAGCCTCTACAGAGGGGCAGTAAACCTTCCACAGGTGGTATGGCATCCACACCATCAGCCGATGGGTGAAGAAGCGGTCGGGTGGTAAATGAGGGCTGGGACAGGGGGCTCAGGAAGCAAGAGGAGAAGAAGAGCTGGGGGTCCTCACAGAGGATGGAGAAGGAGGAGAAGGGCTGGGGGTCCTCACAGAGGATGGAGAAGGAGGAGAAGGGCTGGGGGTCCTCACAGAGGATGGAGAAGGAGGAGAAGGGCTGGGGGTCCTCACAGAGGATGGAGAAGGAGGAGAAGAGCTGGGGGTCCTCACAGAGGATGGAGAAGGAGGAGAAGGGCTGGGGGTCCTCACAGAGGATGGAGAAGGAGGAGAAGGGCTGGGGGTCCTTCTAGCCACTAAATTGGGCTTTAGTGAGTCAGACTTTGACCCACCAAAACGTGATTTAGTGAACTGAAAGGAGAAAAAGATATAATTTAATGATGCAACACAAACACAATGGTTCATACAAAAGATTAATTGATTAGAAAGAACTCACCATAACAAACTCAGCGGGGGCCGCAGGAAAGACCTCGGGGTGGCGGCAGACGCTGCACCACTTGCTGAAGTCGCACCAGGGTCCGAGTCTGAGGCCACAGACCGTGGGGCTTCAGCAGGAGTGGCAGGCTGGATTCATTCCCTGGTGAAGCTGCTATAATAGGAACCAGTTGGTTTCTGGATACCAAGGCCAGCAGAGAAAGCGAGATACAAGGATCGCAGTGTGATCCATTCACTGGACATCTGGTGTGCTGTCAAAAATCTTCCTGAACCCAGGCGGGAAAAAGTGAAAACAAGTTGAGGTAAAATAAGTTCTGTACATTTCTAAGAGTTTTGACATTGCTAATTCTTTTCCTTTTGTTAGTCGCTCACAGGGTGGGATGATATCCAGTGGCGGTTCTAGACCAGTTTTATTGAGGGGGCCGGGCTGGGGCCAGTTATTTTGTCAGAGGGGCCCAAAAGAGACAAAGTTCAAGCTTTCATGTATGTTTCAGTAACTTCCAGTTATTTGTTCCAGTAACAGGATCTTTTCACTAACTTAGTTCTAGTTTTATTAAATTACATCTGTTAACTTTAGCTGGAGTTACAGGACACTCTTTGATGCAACGCTTCTTTGTAAGGCTTAATGAACAGTAGAAGCTCTAGTGTACGAGACATCTCTGGATCCCACTTTGTATTTTGTATCCCACTATAACTTTTGCTGGGAAACAACAAACGGCTCCATATTCCCCCCCTGTTATTAGTCCTGATGTGAAGTACACACAAAATGAAACACTGACAGTAGGCCATCATCTGTGCGTTATGGAGGGGGTACATATGTTGGCAGACTGCATGTCCAGCCTGGTAGGACCAGCAGGCTGCTGTTGTCTCTTTCTGTGTATGAAAAGTGCTGTTTAAATGCATTATTAAATAGTCATGATGATAATTTACCCTTTAAGGAGGGAACAATTTCCAGCAACATCCAAAGGTTGTCCAGCAGTGGAAACACGGAGTACAAGGACAAAGTATTGTCTACAATGCTGCGTTCAGTTTCATGGAGGATATATTACTATGATTACAGATTCAGTCGGGCCGGATTTTAAAACCAGGACACAGAGATGGGCCGGACATTTTCTCACCAGTTGGGATCATTAAGATTTTATTGACACACTTGCTTCCTTATTGGTTCAGTTCTTTCTCGATGCTCCTATCAGTCCTATTTATTACTAAATAATTGCATATCTTATTTAAAAAAAGAACGTAACATTTCTTATTAACTGAATGTTGTTTCTAGAGCAGCAACAGGATTTACAACTAAAGTCACTCTAACTGCTGCCCAGCTTTTCTTCTGCTCCAGCTGATGTTTGACCAGTAGGCTATTTATTGGTTCCTTTTCACAAATAATCTCCTTTTGACCAGCAAACGCCGTGAAAAAGTGAAATCAAATAATTCCAAACACAATCACTTTCAGTATGAAATCTAATATAAACCCCAAATATTCAAAATAAAAGCAGCACAGAAATTTAGGAGCTGCTACAACACTCTCTTCTTCCCTTTTAGCTTCTGAAAGCAGCTTCGTGATCACTTATTGAATTGATCATGTGAGCCCAGCATGCGCTTTATTTGGTGTCATTCCCAAGTTCAACAGTAGGTGTCACTATTACTCTTGAGAAACCATAATTCTCAACACAATTACACAGTAAACAAGTAGCTTTTACTGCGACAGCTACAGTCACTAATATCTGAGTGGAAACAAATCTAACATGTCAGTACAATAAATCCTCTTCCTGCCATCAACAGACTGAGTGAAGTTTAGAAATGATGGAGAGCTCAGCCCTCCTCTCCTCCTTCAGCTGCCGCTCTGTCTCCGCCACCAGCTGAGTAGGATGTGTCATATTTGAATGGAGGCGGCAAACTGAGCTGAACAGTTACTAAAGACTGACGGCTTTCACCTCAGCCTGTTTGTAACAATAAGCTAGCAGCTGAAGCAGCTCTGTGGAAAACCAACACACAGCTGCAGATGATGAGAGACTGAGCAGATTAAAACGTCGCCGTTTGTGTGTTCATGCTTATTAAACAGGTGTGTTGGTAAAGTATTGTCTTTTTACTTGCTAAGGTTTTATTGCACAGTTTAAAATAATCCAATGATTCTTTTTCTTCTTCTTCTTTATATAAAACGTATTAAAGGAAAGCTGAGGGAGCCGGTCTGAACGGGCCTGATGGAGCTGAGAACATTAATCTAGAGAAAAGTTTGTCAGTAGATGAGATGCTGGATCATCGGCCGGTACGAGCACAGCCAGAGGTGTACGGTCAGCATCAGATCCGAGCAGCTCAGACCCTGATGATGAAACAGTCGCCGCTCCACCAAATGAGCCAGCAGTTTGGCCCCCAGTCTGAACAGATTTCATGAGGACCGGGATGCTGAAAGATGAACCAGCTTGTGACCGAGCGGAAACGCAGCTGCTAGAGTTTTGCGATATAAACATGTAAAAACTGAGGAGCACACTTGCTCTGTTTGGGACATGGCTGAGATTTGAGCCTGATAACAAGTGTTTTCAGTTCTGTCTCATCTTAACATACCCAAAGTCCCAAAGGGGGTTCTGTGTCAGACGGTCTGAAGGGGATCCGACCACCCCAGCAGAGCCAGAACGCAGCCTTACCCCCCCCACAGGATAGGAAACATCCACATGTCCTCTTGCCACTCACTTTCCCTTTTTGTGATCCACTGTAACTTCCAGTGCTGTTCAAACCTGTCTGAGCTGAATTTGAAAAGATTTTTGTACGATCAATAGATTTGAATGTGTAGTACTTTTTACTTTTGAGTACTAAAGTATTTTAAAAAGCAGGTACTTTTTTACTTGAGTAGGTTTTTACTGGAGGACTTTTACTGGAGTAACATTGCTCATGTGGCATCTGTACTTTTACTGAAGTATGAAAGTTGGATGAGCCTGAAGCTACAGTAACAGAGCAGCTGGAACAGCCAGATGTGCCAGATGTGTTGTGCTTTTCTACAGGGAAAAGCTGAATTTCCCTCTTGGCCTTGGCTGATTAAATTCCTGCCCAAACACACCTGTCCCTCATAGTCCCTCATTTGGACAACAACAACATTTGCTCTGCCAAACAAATAAATGTGAATTCTAGATTTCTTTCCAAAGTGAGAACAAAGTCTCTCCGATAAAGGAAGCTCTGCTGCTTTCTCTCTTCAGACCCATGCAGTGGAAGAGAAACAACAACATACAAATACATCAATCCAAATATTCAACAAACATTTAGAGCTCAGACAAGTTTCCATTTTCATGCAGAGAAACAAAAGTCATCCTGAGCAGTGATGGCCTCCATGGCTAAACAGACACAGGAAGGAGCTCCAACATTTCCACAGCAGCTGATGAGAAGACGGCAAAGTCCCGCCCACAGTGTTTGATTGACAGGTGAAGAAATGCCCCAACAATCAGCTCTCAGCAACAAACATGAAGACAAAAGAAGTTTAAGGATTAAAACACAGAGTTTAACCCACTGTCCCTGAAAGGACTTCTGACTATTTCACTTTACAGAACTCAGCAGAAGAAAAAGGACGAAGTCCAGCATAGAGAGGCTGAGTGAATGTGGTCTGGACTCTGTGGAGGAGGGTCATGGTTTCAGAGATGCTGTAGAAGGAAAGAATACCTGCTCTGTGATCCAGGTACACTCCTACTCTGGAGGACCGAGGACCTGAGATGGGAGTCTGGACTTTGTTGTACCAAAAGTTATAACTGTTTGTGTCACAATATAACGCCCAAGATTTATCATTGAATCCAAATCTACATTCACTCCCTGCTCTGCTGATATTCTTGTATGCGACTGCTATAAAAACTCTCCCCCCTCTCCACTCCACCTCCCAGTAACAACGTCCAGTCAGACTCTCTCTACTCAGGACCTGAAACCATCCAGCGAATCTGTCTGGGTGACTAGAATAAGACTGTTGTTGACTCATGAATGTTGCTTTTCTGTTCCCCTCAGATAATAACAGCTGTGTGTTTGCTGTGTTTGGATCCAGTGTGATTTCACATGAATATTTTAAGAACCCAGCTCTGGTCTTGGGCTCTGGTTCTGGTTCCGACAGTAAAACCTCCACCTCAGTCACTGTCAGCGAGACGTTTGTCCATGTCTCTGTCAGAACGTCCTGTAGTTTGTCTCTGACTTCTGACACAGCCGCTGTCACGTCCTCAAAGTAGCGCAGAGGACGGATGTTGATGCTGGATGAGTCTGTAGATTCACTGAGTGCTGACAGTGAGGGGTAGTTGTGTAGAAACTGGGTGTGATCCTCTGTGTGTGAGAGCTGCTTCAGCTCAGCATCTTTCCTCTTCAGCTCAGTGATCTCCTGCTCCAGCTTCTCCTGAAGCTCTTTGACTCGACTCACTTCAGTGTCCTGCTGGGATCTGAGCTGCCGCTTCACATCGGACCTTCTTTTCTCCATCAGACGGATCAGCTCGGTGAAGATCTTCTCACTGTCCTCCACTGCTTTATCAGCAGAGCCATTGATAGCCTCCACCTCCTGCTGAAGCACCTTCACATCTTTCTCTCTGTCCTGGATTCTCTGCTGGATGTTTTGTCGACTCACCTCGAGCTCTCTCTGCCTCTCGGTCCTTTCTGCTGCAGCTGAGACTGTGTCGTGGCCTTTATGTTCATCCACAGAGCAGAGATAACAGATACTCTGCCGATCAGTACGGCAGAACATCTTCATCACCTCATCGTGACGAGAGCAGATGTTCTCCTGGAGCTTCTTGGAGGGCTCCACCAGCTTGTGTTTCTTGAACGGAGCAGCATCATAATGAGGCTGCAGGTGTTTCTCACAGTAAGAGGCCAGACAGACCAGACAGGACTTGAGGGCTTTCAGTTTTCTCCCAGTGCAGACATCACAGGCCACATCTTCAGGTCCAGCATAGCAGTGATCAGCAGGAGCAGCTTGGAGTCCAGTCTTCTTCAGTTCCTCCACTAAAACTGCTAACATGGTGTTTTTCAGCAGGACAGGCCTCGGTGTGAAGGTCTGCCTGCACTGAGGGCAGCTGGGGATTTTCTTCTCCTCCTCTGCATCCCAGTGGGTTTTAATACAGTTCATGCAGTAGCTGTGTCCACAGGGAATAGCCACCGGATCCTTCAGTAGATCCAGACAGATGGAACAAGAGAAGGTTTCCCGGTCCAGCTGAACTCCTTTCTGCGCCATTTCACCTCTCAGTGGCAACGACTGTCTGAGTTTCACTTTCTCAGAAGTGCAGCTAGTTTGAGCTCTGATCTGAACAGCATGTGTTTCTGCAGTGAACGGGGCCTGTCAGCTGCTGCACGTCAGCACATGTTGGTCACACCCATCTTCAAACTGTAGATCTGAAGGGGAGGGAACCAGGAAATATATGGACAGAGTGGAGCTCGCTGTGATTGGAGAGCAGGAAGCAGAGGGAGGGGTCATCAAGCTGCCGCTCATTCCAGGAAGAGGAGGAGCTCTGTGGATTCTTTGTTTCCTCATTTCCAGCGAAGCCTCGGTTAAAAGCTGCTCCCCGTTTGAAACCTCTAAAGTTTTTAGTTGTGAAATCCTTCTGGGCTCCTCAGGCTTTGCTGATGGCTCAATAAAACTAAAGTCAGTGAGAATCAGAAGCCAAACAACCACTAATAAAGGCGATCAGTTCAGCTTTTTGATTTGAAAGCATGCAGTCCTAGAATGTGTGGAAAAGGAGTCAGAGATGAGGACTCTAATCACAGGTGCATCACAAGCTGCCATCTTCTCCCCTTTGTTGTTGTCTTTGTAAAGCAGTGACTCCCACTTGAACTTCCTACAGCGTGCTGACGATGTGGCCCCGGTTGGCCTTCTGTGTGAGGGGGACTCTGTAAAAGATGGCCCATATTTTAATCATGTAGTTTCTCTGCAGCAGTGCTGTGAGGAGAGTGTGTTTAATAAATGGAGGTGAAAGCAAAGAACTGATCTTCTCCAGCAACACACAAGACTCTCCTGATAAAGTTCAACCTTTGACCATCACTGGATCCCCTGGAGAAACTGTCAGCAGGTTAAAGATCTTGGAGCTGTGACTGATGGCCGCCTGAACTTCACACAGAGAGCTGACTGGATTTTTAAGGAAGCAAACAGAGATTGTATCTTTTAGCACTTTTAGTGCTTTGACACCATTTACCATGATGTGGGACACAATGCACTTTTACTATCAGCCTAAACACGTGTTGTGAGCTGAGGAGCTTTAACCTTCACTACATCCCTGGTTAGCAGGATGAAGGCGCCCTCTTGTGTTGTGCATCAGTTTCCACATTTCACTTGTTCACCTGCAGGAAGACATGGAAACACTTCACTGAGCCTTTGGCAGCTTCAAACAGCATCAGTAAAGAGAGATTTAAATAGATGTAATATCACACTGTCACTTTGTTCACACCCTGTAACACTGATGCTGCATTCAGGTCACACGGGAAAGACGGTACAGAAGAGTTTCCAGCTCACAGATATTCTTCCCGTCAGCTCTCAGGTTGGAAATAGTATTTGGGAACGTGAGATTTGAGGCTGGAGGTTAAAGGGCTTTTTGCTGCTCTGCCCTGAAGGGAACAGCGACTTGTGATGTTAAAGACAGGCGTCATCACAGAGCTCCTTTTCCTGACATTATAGACTTCGCTGGACATCAGGTGGAAACTGCAGCTGATCCTGTATTTGGTGACAAACAAGATGCTCCAACAACAGTGCAAAGCAGACTCAGCGTCTCATTCAGACTCAGACTCCTGTATCGTCAGTGGCCTTACCTTGAGCACATTAAAATCCCTGAAATTGATGCTAACGTGGAGTTATTAATAGGTACTAATGCTTCAAACCCTATTAGGCTGGATGGTCAGTGGCTTAGGAAGAATCCACAAGCTTTCTTGAGAATATCATCAGCAGTGGCTATGCAGAAATAGTACCACAGAATGAATCGCGTTGTGGAGAAGATAACCTGTTCTATATTCCTCATCATGGAGTGTATCACCCACGCAAAGGCAAGTTGCGAGTTGCCTGCGACTATGGAGATAAGTTTAAAGGAACTTCATAGGAGCTTCTAACATTCAGACAAGAACCAGTTGCCTTTATGTCTGATGTGAAGTCTATATTCAACCAAGTCAAAGCGGCTGAGGAAGACAAAGACTTTCTAAGGTTCCTGTGCTGACCTAATGGAGATCTGTCCGAGCAAGTTGAAGAGTTCAGAATGACTGTACATCTCTTTGGAGCTGTGTTGTCGCCTAGTTGTGCATGTTATGCTTTAAGGAAGACTGCAGACGACAATTAGAACAGTTATTAGGACAAAGTGGTTGACACAGTACATAGAAGTTTCCACGTGGACGACTCACCATCGGGGCAGAAAGCGGTACAGATTGTTCATGACCTTGCTGACCTTTTCCAGGAGGAGGAGGCTTTCACCTTACACAAGTGATCAGTAACAGTTGCAAACTCCTTCAAACAATTCCTGAGAAGGAACACTCTAAAAATGTGAGCGAACTCAATTCGGGCACTGGGGCTGCATTGGAGTATGGAAAAAGACAACTTTAACTTTCGTATGAACTTCAAAGAACTGATGCAAACATGACGAGGGATTCTATCAGTCCTTAGTTCAGTGTACAATCCCTTAGGGTACCTTGCACCAGTCCTTCTTCCAGACAGGCACATTTTACAAGAGTGGTGAAGAAGGAACTATGGCTGGGATGAAGAAATTCAGCAAGCTGTAAAACAACAATGGCTAAATTGGTTGACTGAGCAGAAAGAGATCTCAGAGTTCAGAGTGAGTAGGTGCTTGAAACCACACAACTTTGGAACACCAGTCCATTCCCAGTTGCCAGCAAAAGCGGAACCTGAGGTTACAGAACAAACCGGGTCATGTAAATGTTTCCTTTCTTCTTGGAAAGGCCAGAGTTGCACCTCTTAAACCCTTAACCATCCCTCGTTTGGAACTCAGTGCTGCTGTTTTGGCTGTTCGGGTGGACAAGGTGGTGAAATCAGAGTTACAGCTTTCTTTGCCAGGGTCCTGTTTCTGGACTGATAGTAGTACAGTCTTGAAGAACATCAACAATGAAAACAAAAGATTTCAAACATTTGTGGCCAACAGAATAGCCGTCATTAGGGAAACTTCAGACCCAGCACAGTGGCGGTATGTTCACACAAAACAAAATCCTGCAGATGACGCATTTAGCGGATTGAGAGTCCACAAAATTCTGAACAGCAAAGCGTGGTTATCAGGTCCAGAATTCCTGTGGAAAGCAAGAGAAACATGGATACAGTATGAAGTAGAGTCCACAGTGGAAGAGGATGATCCAGAGGTCAAACTGGAGATCTCTACAAACACAATAACTATTCAAGAGGATAATGCAACCAATCGACTCATCACGTATTTCTCAGACTGGAAAAGGTTGAAGGTTACAGTTTCATAGTTACTCAAGGTCAAGAAGACGCTATTGGAGTTGAGTCAAAGAAGAAAGCAACGTGATGGCTGCAACGACAGATCTTTGTTATACTGAGGATCTATTAGCAGCAGAAAGCGCGTTCCTTCAGTTCTGTCAGAGGGAAAGATTCGACAAACTGAATCCTGTTCTAGAGGATGGACTGTTAAGAGTAGGTGGAAGATTGTCCAGGACTGCAATGCCAGAAGAGAGCAAACACCCAGTCATCCTGTGTAAAGATCAGTACATCTCCATGTTAATTCTTAAAAATGTTCATGAACATATGAGGCATGTTGGGAGAAATTACATCCTCTCCAAACTGTGAGAGAGAGGTTCTGGGTCACTCATGCCAATGCAGCAGCACAGAAAATCTTCAAGTCAAGTTGTGCTTTTTGCAAACGTCACAAAGGAAAAATGTGTGATCAAAAAATGGCTCTCCCCAAGAAAGGATTACTGCAGACTTACCTCCATTTACTGATGTGGAAGTGGACTATTTTGGGCCCATTGAGGTAAAACAAGGACGTTCCCATGTGAAACGTTATGGGGTTATCTTTACATGCATGGCCAGCAGGGCAGTTCATTTAGAAGTGGCGCACTCATTAGGCATGGACTCTTGCATCAGTGCTATTTGTCGTATGCCGAAGAGGACCCGTAGCTCACTTTCGCTCAGACAATGGCACAAATTTCACAGGAGCTAAAAAGAGCAATTGCAGAGTTAAACAACGGATCAACTGAGAAAGCTTTAATACATGACAACATCAAGTGGACGTTCAGCCCACCTACAGCTTCACATCATGGTGGTGCTTGGGAAAGCATGATCAGACTGAGAAAGGTCTTAGTAACACTTTTACATCTACAGGCTTTAACTGATGAAACCTTAGTCACAGTCCTATGCGAAGCAGAAGCAATCTTGAATGACCGACCAATTACTAGTTTCTAAGGATCCTAATGATTTAGAACCACTGACACCTAACCATCTTCTTACTTTGAAAAAGAAACCAGTTTTTCTCCAGGTCTGTTTGATCAAAGGGACCAGTACGTAAGACGAAGGTGGAAACAGGCTCAGTATATTTCAGATTTATTCTGGAAAAGATGTACAAAAGAGCATCTCGTTACTCTACGGGAAAGACAAAAATGGAACAAGACAAAACGTAATCTTACAGCAGGAGATATCATTTTGGTTGCAGATGCTACAGCACCTCAAAATTCTTGGATGATTAGGAAGAATTATTAAATCATTTCCAGACAAGCATAATTGAAAGACCAGTGACAAAATTTAGGCCTGTTGGTAGAACAGTCAATGTAAAAGTGAACAAACATTTGCTTGTTGTTTTTATTGTAAGATGTTTTTTGTTTGCCTTGTAGTGCCATGACCAATTAGGGGCCGGTTGTGTTGGAGCCATTCTGTGTATTGGGATGGGGGGGCGCTGTGTTCTGCCACAAGTCTACTTAAGACAGGAGTTAATTATCATATCCGACTTTAAGTTCTGACTTTTGAAAGTTTATTATTATTATTTTACCTTATTTTGTTATTTTAAGCCACACGGAAACAGCACGCGTGTGCAAAACAACTAAAATGTGTGCCAACAACTACTATTCTTCTTGGAAACTTAAAAAACTCCTGCAGCTTCAACTTTGGAAGACAAAACCCCATCCCACCCAACTTAAATCGACAAATGGACAAGGGCATGGATTAACTGTGGACGATTAAAATGAGGCAGAGAAGTCAATCATTTGCTATGAACAACAGCACTAATTCAGCTCTGAACTTAACCTTTTAAGGAAAAGCAAATCAGTTAAAGCAGACAGCTCTTTACGCAAACTGGATCCAATGATTGATGAGGACTTCCTACAGGTTGGAGGACGGATGAGTAAATCAGCACA